GTGGGGGAGTTATTTGATGAAAACTAGCCAGGGCAATTCTTAGAGGCTAAACTTATGATAATCCCATCATGTAACTTTCACCTTGTGAAGAAACTTCACTTGATTCTTATTCAAATTATTTTATGCTACAGGGTAATTCCTTCCCCCTAAAATCAAACATTATTTTTACTTTCTCGTATCAGAAGAAAAAATATTGTTATTGTCAAAATATTCGACCTCGACATTTTGATCAACCGACACGTTTTAGACCTACCTAAACCTCCTTTGGAATTATATCTGTCTGTCTGTGAACACGATAACTCTGATGCGCAAGAAGCTAGACGAATGAAATTTATGTGTTCTTTATTCCAAAATTGTTGATTTCTATCAAATTTCAGACGAAACCCATTTACGAGGAACCTATCGGTCTTTGTGCATGTGAACATGGTCACTCAAAAATCCAGCGAGATTGATGGGTGAATTTCAGTATATGATCTTTACACAAAAATTTTAGATCTCTAAATAATTTTGGACTAAATCCGTCAAAGGATCGATTGTCTGTCTGTCGGTCTGTCCATGTGTATGAGAACACAATAATTTAAACCAGGGTGTCAAACTCAAATGCTATCATGGGCAAGGTCTAAGTTTAAGCGGGCAGCATTTTTTTTTTCTTTTTTTTTGTAGTAACATAGATTTATTTCGAAAACACAATATAAGCAAAGAACAAGGACAATTGTAAAGTTGATGTTTTCTTGCTAACTCCTGGCGTCTCTTCTCTGCTACTAACTGGTCTGCAGAAATTAATTTCTAAATCGATCCATTAATTATGAATCTGATAGGAGACTTGTTGTGATAAGTGAAAGTAATTTCTCGGACCGATAAGTACTTCCAAACATGAAAACAATTTCATATCCCAGTTTTAGACTGGTTTCAAACCAGGCAAGTAAATATTTCTGAAATTTAGGCTTCCCAATGTCACTGAATTTTGCTTTCAAATCTAAACAGCACTGGATCTCCTTTACCTCCATCTGCTTATTTGTGCGTTATCGACTGCTAAAATATTCGATGCTATTGTTTGGGTAAATGGTGCGTCGAAGTTATACAACTGGTAATCGAACTTTGGCGAATGGTGTGGCTTGTTTTTCATAATTATGTATGATTAGGATTTTTAAAAATTAAGCTATGAAATTTTGGGTAAAACTCGCTTTTACATATTGTCATGTTTGGCGGGCCACCCTTGATTTAAACCCACTAGAAACTAGATGCACTAAATTTAGTATGTCGTCTGAATTCTAAAATTGTAGATAGCCATCAAATTTTGGACCAATCGATTACTGAGGGAAAAGCCCAAAATACATACTTGTTTGTCTTCACCACATTAGGAAACTAAGCACAAAATGCACCGTATCGTGTATGAATATGAGAAGGACGAGGGGAGAACACTCCCGCAGGTTGTTTAAAGGAATGCATGTGAAAATATAGTTACTTTTTTTATTGCCTTGTTATGTTTTTCATTTTCCGAAGAAGTTACTATCGTTTTGTTATTGCAAGTGAAGCAATTATTAACGGCTTAAAATAGCATAATAGCATGTTCTGAGGTGATAACCTCCTATTCAACTGTTATTTAAGTGAGTTTAACAATCATGCAAATAACAGCTCTCCAAAGCAGAAATCTTTTACTCTTATCTGGCGAAAAATAATGTAATATAACAACTATTGTTCTGTTGCATCAGCTTCGTGTCATTTCTTTTCTGCGGCACTTCATTTTACACAAAAGTCGTTTGATTCATTCAAGTCAAAAACTTTTTTGTTTAGAACTCCTTTAACTTACGGTACACCTTTCAATAAAAAACAAACGACATGTTTCTCATTGCAAGTAGACGAACAATGGCGTCATTTATTTATTTATTTTTGGAAAAATTTTATAACTCTAGCATTTTTCTGTATGACTTAATTTTCTTTCTCTAATAGTTTTCGAAAAGTCACTGAACTTTATATATCTTGTTGATAAAATAAAATAACTTATTCAAACACAGTACCGGTTTGTCGAATTATTCAGAGAATTAAATTAAATAATAGGTTTATACATAGACAAGCAATTAATGGGTGATTCAGAATTAAAGTGAACCAAGTTCATATTTTCTCCATTTTGCACACGCTGTTATGATATTGTACAAATGTTATATTGCCACACATGAACTGGTTGCCCGATAGCCGAGTGGTTAGAGCATTGATCTCCCATACCAAGGCCCGAAGTTCGAATCTTTGGACATTTATGTTTACTACAATCCACGCTCGTTATAAAGACCATTCCATTATAACGACCAGTGATAAAACCCCCAACTGTGTTTCCCTATGCACTCTATGTTATTTTACTTCCGGTATAACGACCGTCCAGAGTCGTCTAACCCCAATACAACGTCCGAATTCAGAGGACACTCTTCCCGGTATTTTCCCAAAATTCCTTTATTTTCTACTTTTTTTAGAAATATATTTTTAATTGATCAAATTTTATTTTTAATACCAATAATAAAAAATAATTTGAGTATTTAGTTGGAATCTCTTTAAAAATATCCTATTTTTACGGAACTGCTGAACGTGCATGTGTACATTTTTAGGTAGATTCCTTATAGGAAGTCTACCTATTTTAATTATATCCACTATAGTGACCACTCGTTCTAAAGACCTTTTGCTGGGGGACGCAGAAGGTCGTTATAACGAGCGTCGAATGTATTATTATTTCGATTATTTATTTTACATGTAAATTTGATTTATGTAACTTGCCCCCTTGGTGGAATATGAGCATTCCACCAGCTATATAAAATGACCTCGGCTGAATAAGACTTCAGTTGTCTGTGTAAAGCACTACTGCCTAATAAACCTTCCTGTTAGTCACAGTTTATAGTAAGTTCATTTCCACGTGATAATATTTTCTGTGTAATTGTGATTCAGGTCCATAGTTCAATTTATATGAATCAATCAGCAAGAGAAATTAGAAGTCAACTGTTATTTTTAAATTCAGCTAATCAATTTTGAGATCTGTTTACTCAGAAATGAATCTTGGACATGGTTCACTGTGCTTCGTAAACTTTCAAATCAAGGAACATGATCAAAAACATTTATAAAACATCTGCTCAAAAAATGCTCTTTCAGGTTGACAGTGATCAATGAAGAATCTCCCAAGGCATCCAAGTCTTAAAACCATCCGCTTGATTAGAAAGCTTTTACACCAGATACTCCTAAAGTGAGCGGCGAACAATAACTTCTGTCTGTTTCACTTAAATTGGTTCCAACTCTGATAGATATAAAGACATCGTACATTATGTTTAGAATTAAAGTGTCCATGTCAAGAGCCCTTTAGAAAAAAAATCAGCAGTTCATTAGAACGCTATAACTCAAAAGTATGTATGTTTCTTTATGTTCAGAACATAAAGAAACGAAAGGCTCGAAAATAGTAAAAAGAACAGGAACATATAGCAAAAATGAAAGTGCTTTACCTCAGAACTCTTTACCTTAAATAAAAATTAATATGTGGATGTCTATGACAATAGTTAAAACCACTCTTATACCACTACTAATTCGTAGTTAATGTACATCCTGAGAATGGATAAATGATGATACGTCCACGACTGAATTATGTTTATGCGAGGCACTGTACGCCTATCCTCCTTAGAGTACTTTTTTTGGAACTTCGTAGTGTCATTAATTCTCCCCATAGAATGAACAGCATGTAGATTAGGCATCCTGCTTAATGCTCTGAATACGGATATTTTAAT